TTTTTAATTAAATAGACCAACTTAAAAAGGGCAGTACTGCACAATAGATTAAAAACGAGCTCTTTGGGAATTGGTTTCAATAATAAAATTTGTCCTCTCAAGCTACGGTTTTGATGAGGTTCAGATTTCATAAAGCAGCACAAAATATTGTTGAGTGGTTTTCTTTTTTCTTTTTGCAGTTTCTCAGTTAATTTTCTTTACCACTACCAAGAATAACTTCACAAGATAGGCCTTCAGACGACCTGCTTTTGAAGCAAAACTGCATCTCTCTCTTTTCTTTTTTATCTTTAATTTGACCATTTGCCACTTCCACTGTTTGAGTGGGAGTGGCGGGGGTTTGGGGATAGGGAAAGAGGAGGAGTGGGTCACCAGGAGATCTGCTTTCTGTTCACCTTTGTTCTCTGTCCCTTTGCTCCTTCCCAAGCTTTCGTGGTCTCCTGTCTGCAGGGGACTGTGCCAGGCTTCCTGGAAAGGTGCGCAAGTCAGGCAGGACCCTCGTCCCTCTGAGGGAGAGGCTAAGCTGCTGGGTGTCTAGTTTATGGTGTGGTAAGTGCTGTGAACATGCAGGCAGAGGGGGATCTTGTCTGGGGAAGGGACAGGAGGGCATCCTTCGGTCTGAAGGGAATTAGCTATCCAGGTGGAGAGGCCAGAGGAAGAGGATCAGTGGCAGAGGAGAGTGCGTGCTTGAAGGGGAAGGACTGAGCCTGTGTGCCTGGAACAGTTAGCATTTTAGCTGTTATGCTAAGATCAGTGGAAAGACATTGAGATTTTTAAAAATTTACTATGAAGAATTTCATGCATATAAAATACATGTAAGATGTAAAATGTATAATAAACACTTGTATAGTCATCATCTTGCTTAAGAAATAAAACTTACCTGCACCATTGGAGCCCTGGATACCGACTCTGCCCTTCCTCTATCTCCTTTTTTCTGACTCTACTCATCTCCCTCTGTTTTTCTTTCATCCCTTCTTCCCTCTGGAGTAACCACTATCCTGAATTTTCTATTTATATTTTCTTTGCGTTTCCTTTTAGTTTTACTGCTTGTGTGTGCATCCCTAAGTCATGCATAGTTTTGGGTGATAAGCAGCAGCATGGACACATCTCAGTGTTGAGTGAAGATGGAAAGTTACAGGAGCCATGTAGTACGAAACCACTGGAGGGCTTTCTGCAGGGATGTGACGATAATTTGTGTTTTGTAAAGGTTATTTCCTATGCGCTGTGGATAATGGATTGGAAGGAGCAAGAACTGATGGAGAGGGCAGTTAGAAGGATGCTGTGACTCTTCCTTCCCAGAGGCTAATGGTTGTAGCCTCTCAAGAGAAAGTGTAGACAAACTCATAACCATGGCCCTTTACCATCTTGTCCCTCGTGACTGTTTGACCTCGCTGTTGTTCAGACATGTCAAGTGTCTCCTGTGTTGAGGTCTTCCCTCTTCTTCCCCTGGAAGGCTTTCCTCTCAAATGTGCATTCTCTTTCACTGCCCTCAGGTCTCTGCCCAGAGGTGTCCCCTGCCCACCACTGAGAAGTGACCCCATCCTTGTCACTGTTTTCTGGTCTTCTTTTTTTTTTTTTTAAAGATTGGCAGCTGAGCTAACAACTGTTGCCAATCTTTTTTTTTGTTTTTTCTGCTTTTTCTCCCCAAATCCCCCCCAGTATATAGTTGTATATTTTAGCTGTGGGTGGTCTTCTTACTTTGCTTTATTTCGCTTTGTAGTTTTTTTTCAATCGTACCCTGAAATCATATGTTTATTTATATACAGCCTGTCTTCCCTGCTAACATATAAGATCCACCAGGGCTGGGACTTTTATCTGTCTCGTCTGACACTGTGCTCCCTCCCCGTGCCTTGTGCATAGCAGGCGCTTAACGAATATTTGTTGAGTAGGTTAGTGAGATTGGGACGATGGGATCCAGTTGTCCCTTTTCGGCTGTCTCCTAAACATACCTCTGGCTGTGAACTTTTTTCAGAGCTTAAGGTTAATACCAACTCTTATTCCCACAAGACGTTTCCACTTGACTGTCTTGCTGTCGCCTCAGACTCAGTAAGTCTAAAATTACACATTGTCTTCCTTCCTCCAGTCTCCCACTGTCACTGGTGGTCCCCAGGCACAAAGCCTCAGAGTTATCCACAGTGTTCACTAGTCCTAACCCCTCGGGTACTCTCTGTCCCCATTTCTGTCCTTGGGGGTGTGTCTGGTCCCTGTCATCATCTCTGCTTTCTGTGCTGGCATTTTAGCCAGCCCTCAAGGCCCTGCTCGGATCCTTCTCTTCCGGGCCTCAAGCGGAAGTTTCTACCCCAGCACCCTTTTGTACTTAGGTCTATAGTTTTTGTTTTTTAAACACAATATCCTGGTTTGTACTGTTACTTTCCATGTCCTAATATTTAAAAATATTTAACTGTCCTAAATACTTAAACAAATATTTGTTGTATAAAGTACAACAAATAAAGCACTTATTGATTGAGTTGCCTTTGTTTCCTTCATTACCCTGTTTTTGGCCTCACCACATGTCCTATCCTTAGATTTGTCCTGGAGCCCTAACCTTGTCACCTTGTTGTATGACAGAGAAGACAGCTGCCAGCAGCACTGCCAGCAGCAGAAGTAGCTTTCTTGCCTCCTGTCTCTAGCCCTCACTGGCGCTGCGTTCTCTCTGAGCCTGTGGGGGCTCTTGCAGTTTTAAAAGATGAGAAGTCGTGAGGTTTCAGCTCCTGCATCATGCTGGGAATGGGTAGAGGCGGTGGATCTGAGCTGATGACGTTAGTTTTTAGTTGTACTTGTTCAGTTATCCTCTAAAAGGAAAACAGCAGCTCTTCATAACTACTTAGAGATGCAGGTTGTGAAGATAAACTTGATTGGTTAAATTATTTTAACTCATGTTTATTGAGTGTCTCTTATATTGCAGTGAGCATAGACAAGATGGTTTTGCTTCTGACAGGTCTTTCAAAATCCAGCAGGTATGGGAGTTATTTAACAGTAGATTTAGTAAGTAAATCTGGTAAAGGCTGAATTAGAAGTAGGCACAAGATGCTGATGGAGTGCAGGAAAGGAAGCATCTGACTCATTGAGGGGTTCCTAGGGAAGGCTTGTTTCATAGAGGACGGAACAGGCCCGGTCTTGACAGATGAGCGGGAGTGCAGCAAGTGGCAAGGGCTTTAAGTTCTTGGACGTGGGTAATTCATAAAAACAAAACGGAATCAGTCTGGGCCCATCGGAGCTCCATTGAGGGGCAATATCAACAAGGGCAGGGTTTTCTGTTTCCTTAGTGTCAGCCCAGGGTTACCACTGTGCAGTCCCAGTGCCACAGTACTCTCAGGCAGCGGGCTGCAGAGACGGCTTCACATAGCGGTTGACGGTGGACTCTGCACTTCGGCTGCCCAGCTTCAGATGCCCCTCTGCAGCTTCCTGGCCTTGGGGATTTGAACAAGTGACTCAGCCTCTTTGGCCTTGGCACAGTGTCTCTTCACAGAAATGAAGATTAAATGAGATAAAATAGGTAAAGTGCTTATGATAACGACTGGCACCCAGTAGATGCTCAATAAAATTTGCTGTGGGGGTGAGTTTTGACTGTTCACATCAGCCCAGATCAGGGGTTGGCAAACTATTGCCAGGGCCAGACCCTCCCTCTGTCTGATCTGTCTGTAAAGTTTTCTGGGAGCACAGCCATGCCCGTTCATGCAGTAGCGTCTCTGGCTGCTGCTCTGCTCTGCAAGGCTGAGTTTAGCAGTTGTGACAGAGACCAAATGGCCCACGAAGCCTGAGATGTTCACAGGGCCCTTTACAGAGGAATTTCCTGAGCCTTGGCCTGGAGGATGAAATCAAACTCTTCAGCTCTGAAGATCTTCAGTGGTCACTTCCACGCCTCCTTGTCCGTCCGTAACTCACAGGTGGCCGCAGTAGCTCTATGGGTTTTGCTCCCCTCTCTGTATCCTTTGTGAGCTGCTTCCTGTTGCTGGCTCCTGCGCTCTTTAGAGTTTCAACTGCTCTGTTCTCTTTTGCATGAATATGGGCAGCAGCGGGGCCAAGACCCTGGTGAGGCTGGTGAACTTCTCACCTTGGCACACAATTTAAGAGGTTCCCCCCAAAATCTATGATGAACAAAATGTCAAAATTTTAAGTAAAGACAGAACCAGTGTTAATGATTTTTTTTATCCTCAGGCTCCAACATGGCTAGACACAGCACTAGGCAGCAGAGAACAGGCAACCCGTACTTAAGCCACAACAAACCCTAGACACTCATACTTCCTACATAAATATAGTAGAGTTTTTAGATTCAAAATAATCTGCTGGCTGATCATATTTAATCACACATACTCAGGTCCATGTCAGGACTACTTTCATAAAGTGTAATTAAGCACGCATTTTTTTGGACTTAGCTTATAGTAGTGATCCATATATAATCTGTTGTATAAAGTGACAGAATGAAAAATATTTCCGTAAGTTTTTGAATGATTCATTTGAATGGTTCCCTGAGAGCCGTGGAGCATGGATCAGAATAGCAGCCTTGGATAAGTGAAGCTGTTTGCCAAGAGATCTGAGAGGATCCCCTGGTTCCTATAAGCTTTTTCTAAGAAAGGCCAGATAGGGGTATTAATTGAATTTTAATGCTTTCTGATAAACGTTGGCCCGGCAAGCGTTTTTAGATGACTGACTTTCTAATCTGCTTTGACATTTCTTCAGGGTGTTGCAAACAGTGCTTTGTTGGCAGGTTTAAAAATGTGTATAATTTGTATTAGTGAAGAAGGTTTGGAAATATTCTGTGGAATTCTCTTCCAGTACAACGGAGTCTGGTCTGTAGGGAGTGGGTCTGGAGGAGTGGACAAGATGACCTTTCCATTTCTCAGATGCTATGTTGAGGTTTGTGGGATTTTATTTGATGTTTCAACAGAATGAATTAGTTGTTCTAACTGGCCGTCACTGTTATAAAGAGATAAAATGCAATATTGAGCTTACTGATCTTGGTGCTCCTTTGCTTTCTGAATGACGCTTTAAAATGTTTTTAGGTGTATAGTGTTGATTGGAGCCAAACCAGGGGTGAGCAGCTTATGGTGTCTGGCTCATGGGATCAAACTATCAAACTGGTATGTCAGCATTACTGTATTCAAAACCATATAGTCCCTTCGCCAAAGCCTCCACTGAATTTTTTTTCTTTCCTAGAGTATAATTCTGTAGCTTTTCAATGACAGCTAATTTCCTTTTCAAAAAAATACATCAAAGCATTTATTAGAATTTAAAATTTTCTAATCTTGTGGCTAAAACCTAGTAATTAGCTCAGCACTGATTGTTTTGGCTCCTTAAATACCATCTTGCTTTATATAAAAATAGACTTAAAAACCCCTTGTATCTGTGTATATTGTGTGTGTGTATAAATACACATATATGGTATATCGTATACATAAAAGCGTAAGCTTGACTTTTCTTCTGTTGAATATCGATCTGTTCATTTATTTGTAGTGGGATCCGACTGTTGGAAAGTCTCTGTGCACCTTCAGAGGCCACGAAAGTGTCATTTATAGCACGATCTGGTCTCCCCACATCCCTGGCTGCTTTGCCTCCGCCTCAGGTGAGTGAGCGGGTTCTACTGGAAGCTTTGCTGGTGGTGCACGGGGCCTGGCTTTGCCCAGCAGGTGCTGGTGGTGGACCGGGCCTCGCTTTCCCCAGCAGGTGGCGCCATCCCCTTAGCTGGGAGGCAGTAGGAGGCTGCGGCTGTTTGTGCTCTTTAGGCCGTGTCCCACCAGCCTCGGATCAGTGTTCTGTGACCGTACCCACTTGACTGCACATGTCCCTTCCAGTGAGGTGAGAGGCAGGGACGAAGCGCAGGGGAAGGCTTGGCGTCATTCTGCTCGAAGGGGAGCCGTCCCTGCAGCTGGCTGGTTGTGGGGCCTCGGGGCGGAGGGCGAGCATCCTGGTCAGCGGCTGGTTAAGAAGGGCTCACCTGGGGGTTTGTTCTGAGGGTGAAATACGGAAACACAGTGACGTGTCCAGCAGGAGGTCAGCCTCCCTTCCTCAGGGTCAGCCTCCTTTTAGGATCTCTCTGAGTCATTGCCACTGAGCCACACAAGGATGTTTTTGGTATGATCTTTTTTCTGACTGCTTTTGATTTATGCCAGCAACTCTGCAGTAAAGTAGATACTTAGATTTATATGTCTCTATGTTTTTGTATAGAAAAGTCATCTTATAGAAACTTAAAAATTGCACCTTGTACTGTTTGCATAAAGATTTACAAATTTAGTTTGCTAGCCAATTCATAAATCACATAAAACATGACAGTCTAACTCATACGTGAGTTGTGGAGAAACCTTGCTCGGCCCCTGTGCAGTGCTGCTTAAAGTGGCAGAGTCCCCTGGCCAAGTGCTCACTTAAGTGGCCTCCCCTCTTCACTGTTGTTGTGAATTGCACATTCATGTCTTTGGCCCATGTTTCTACTGAGAGATGTTTGTTGTTGTTTTTCTGTATCGAAGTATGAGTTGTTTTTATTTTTAGGCATTAGTCTTCTGTATCTTACAAATGTTACTAATATTTTCCCAATTTGTCTGTCTTTTAACCTGTTTATTTTATTTTACTTTTTACTGTATAAGCATTTAACCTTTTTGGTAGTCAAAACCATCAATTTTTTACTTGATAGATTTCTGACCTTCATTTAAGATGCATAAGGAGTTGGCTCAGTGAAAATTGGGAGGCCTTGGATGGCAAAGAAGGAGAGAACATTCCTGGCAGAGAGAATAGGATGCTCAAAAGTACAATCTTGATGCGTCTGAGAAACTGAAAGAAGGCTGTTGCTTCAGAGGAAAAGGGGTAAAAACGAGGTCGGGGTAGTAGGCAGGGGCCCACATCACACCTTGTGGGCTGGATTCAAGATAGTGGATTTTATCCTGTGGACAATGGGAAAACGTTGAAGAGGTTTAAGCAAGGTTGCGATATGATCATGCTTGCGTTTTTAAAAACGCACTCTGGCTGTCATGTAGAGAATGCTGTGGAGGGGAGCAGAAGTGGGTGCAGGGGGACCACTTAAGAGAGACGAAGACGTGGTTGAGGATGGTGGCAGAAGGGATGGAAGAAAGTAGGCTGACCTGAGTGGTATGTAGAGACGATTTTACAAGATGTGGAAGAGGTGAGGGGGAGGGCTGAGGCAAGAATAACTGCTGTATTCCTCGCAAGGACAAATTCATGGATGGTAGTGTCGTAGCTGAGGTAAGAAGTTTGTTTGAAAGAGAAGATGTCTCGTTTTGTTTTGGAGCACCTCCTGCCTGTGGACACACATGTGACCTTGTCAACAAGCGGCTTGAGTCTGGAGCTGAGACATCTGGCCTTATGGATAAAAACTGTGTCAGTGGCTCATCAGTGGTAACTAAGGCCATGGCGGTGAATCAGAGCACCCGGTGAATCAGAGCACTAGGGAGAAGAGACCCTGGAATAGAGCACAGGTTGGCAAACTACTGCCCTCAGATCCGAATGACCCGCTGGCAGTTGTTGTGAATAAAGTTTTATTGGAACACAGCCACGCCCTCTCGTTGGTATGCTGTCTGTGGCTGCTTTCACACTGCAGTGGCAGAGCTGAGTGGTTGTGACAGAGACGGAATCGCCCTCAAAGCCAGAAATGCTTACGCTTAGGCCCTTCCCAGGAGGCATTTGCTAACTGCCAGTGTAGAGTCTTGAGGGAGATGAAGATTGGAAGCTCCTGTGTAGTTCGGCTGTTGAGGGGGGAGAGATGACAGTGAGGGGCAGGTAGGGGGCTTCCAGCGCTGTTTCCTCGGGGTAGGTGTTCCCTTCTTGCTAGTAAACTGCATCGGTGCCCTGAGTTGTTGGATTATGTCGAGTGGCTTCCACAGGAAATATGCTGTCACAGAATCCTTTCCATTTGTTTATTTTATTTTTTTAATCCTAAAAATTAAAAATGACCAAATATCTCTCAATTCTGGAGTATTATTAGATTGAAGACACTCAGAAGTGGGAACCTTCAGATAAATTGTGCAGACAGATATGTCCATTTAGATTAAGCGATTTTTTAGATCCTAAGATAATAGCAAATAATAGTAACTGTGTATAGAGGTTCAGTTAATTCAAAAAATGTTTTATTCACTGATTAAAATTAACAGCATTGTTTTCTAGAATGAAGAACAGTACATTTATAAAACTTTTACTATTATTTTTAAAATTTCTGAGTTGTCTAAGTCATAGTTTTTTGGTCCATAATCTGAATCAAATCTTTTCCAAAATGTCAAGTCTTTGGGGATGGAACCAGTAATACATTTTTCCTGTCACCTTTCCTTTTCCAAGCCTAAATTTCTTCTTTGATTTTTTTTGTCTGTCTGTGGCACAGCTAACTGTAAGGCTGGGTGTGTGTTAAGTAAGTGATAGTGATATTGATATACTCCTTTGAATTAACTAACCCTTTCGGCTTCGTATATAATTTGAGTTAGTCATCTTTTGTGCTTTTAATTTAGTGTAAATGCTACTGAGTTTCATGCTGATAGTGATCAGATCTGTAAGATGACCGCAGTTCAGCCTAATGGTTATAACTTCACTATTGGTGAAAAGCCCTAATACAGAGAGTATTAGTACGAGTTCAATTAAAATTCTTGTAAGGATATGTATTTTTACATTAGCATCATTTTCAAAAGGTTCATTGAAAACCCTGGATGGAATTAGTGGTACAGAATAGATCCATCCTCAAAATGAACTGAAACCTACTTCCCGTCTGGTGGAACAGTGAAGACTTGTCTTCTGGGAGCTCTGATTGGCAGTGTGTATAATCAACTGGGATTAATAATGAGATAGTTTTATGTATTTGGAAAAGGATTAGTAAGTAAAACTTCTTGAACTAGGGGTAGATTTTTAAAAATTCCTTTACCTTACTATTCTATGTATTTTTGTTAATTTATATTATTAAAGTTCTAAAATTGTCCTCATTTGTTTTTAATCACTGTTCTTTTTATGACCATGACTAAATGTAAAATCTGATAGTGACAAAATCATGAATGAATATGGCTGCATTTATTTAAACAACATCCAGAATATTAGCCCTTTGTTTGGGCTGAGTCACACACCTCTTCCTCCTACACTGGCCTTCTGTGTAGCGTGGTATACATAATACTGACTCTGGACATTGCGTATAGAATATTCAGTGTGTGAGACTGAATAGCAGAAAAAAATGAATTGTGTGTAGAGTTAACAGTATAATCACAAAACTTAACTCTCTGTACATTGTAAATAGGTGGCATATGAATACAGTCTTTTATCTATAGAATGGCCATTTGCTTTAATAGAAAAAAAAGATGATCTGTTTAATGACATTACCTTTATGTGTTTTATTAGAAATTAATACAGTTGTCATATTAGCCAAGACTTCTTTGGTTGAAAATGAAAGACATTCTGACCCAAACTGCCTTAAGGAAGGAGATCATTTATTTGCTCATCTAGTTGAAATGTCCAGAATTACATCTGACTTTATAGACATGGCTAGATGTAGGGGTCAAAGGATGTTCTTGCCTCTCTTTTGTTACGTGTTCTGTTGAGTTGGTTTCAGTATCAGGTACCACATGATAGGAAGATGGGAGTAGCTCCACCCCTGCATCCTTTCTGGTTTCCGTCCAGTAGGAAAAAGTGAGAGGTTCCTTCTCAGACATCTGGAAAAGTTTCCTTTCCTCTCCTTGGCTCTGACGGTCCGTGTGGATGTTCCTAAACTAACCATTGTGCCTGGGGGAAGGGGTGTAGTGTGTTGATTGTCTTGGGCCAGCCCAGCCCCTGCAGTTGGGAATGGGAGGTGGGTGGGGGGGGGTGGGACCCAAACTACACGCTGAGAATGGAAAGAGTGGGTCCTGATTAGGTGGAAGGAGATGGGGGCCAATATTCACTAAATCGTCTGCACATCCAAGGCTTAAAATAAATCAGAAGGGATTTGATGAAAACTGAACTGTAAAATATATTCCTGTAAAAAAAACTTAATACATTAAAGCCGTTTTCTGCGAGCTTTTATGATTTTGGAAACTCATTGGAAGGTTTATTTATCAAGCATTTGCGATTTTCCTGACGTATTCCTTCATGATGATTTTCAGATATTAGCCTCTTGATAAAGTTGAAAAGATTTAAAGTTTTTCTTCCACTCTACAAAAAGAGGGTTCGTGGGATAGTAAAAGTTGGGGTGAGCTCTGAAGCTCTCATTGTGCCTTTGCCATTTCAAGTGAGACAAGAAACTTTGCTTACTATGGACAATGCACTCGTAGGAAATGAACTTCTTTGCATATTTTCTTTGCTTGACTTGTCTTCACACTTTACCTTTGGGGCATGTATATCTTCTATATACCTGAGTGCCTTCCACAGGCAAACACTAAAACATTTTTGATTATTATCATGTAAGATATGGGTGTAACCGTCTTATTAGAATTTTGAAAACATATCTGAGGCTAATTTTGTTTGTTGAGGGGGACATTATCAGTGAGTCAGATATTTAGTCAATGTCCACCATTTTCTGGGCACTGAAGATACATTGAGGAGGAAAACAGACAGGGTTCCTGACCTCTGAGAGCGTAGAGTCCCTTGGGAAAGAGAGATGCTAGAAGAAAA